TATTTTCACGCACACCATCAGCAGAAAATGGAAATCGGTCCAGATAATCCTCAGTGATATGAAGGAAAGTAATTTTTGCAATTTGGAAGAAAATAAATACGTTTTTCTAAAGTTTATTTATCAATTGCAAACCAAATTTTTAACAAAGAGGATCAATGGTTTTAAAAATTCAAAAATATATCAAACAGAAAATGTCTCAACATGTTCATTTATTCCCTCAATTACGCCCAGGGATGATTACCTTCCCCTAATGAGAAACACTGTTCTAATCAATAAAGTGTTGAATTTGATCAGTAAGTGAAGTGATAACTGCAAACATTTCGCATACAATCATGAATGGATCAGAGAAAGTGTTCAGATGCAAGCTGTTAAACTTCAATTCCATAAAACCACAACTCCCTCCTCATTTATGCTACAAGACAAAGCAATTCTTGAATTTACAATACAGTTGTATTAATGTGCGAAGCAAATTTGCTTGCAAGAACTTAAAGACAGATTTCTTGTTTGCTAAATGAAATACGGTTTCAGCAAAGATCAGTTCGTTTTGAAAAGGCCAAACAACTCGCTTATTTCTCAGTTCAATTTGATTAAATTGCAGAATTGACTATGTGCGTGGTCTTGAATAGCAAAAACTACCTTGACAAGTTCATGACTGTAGATGGCATTGTTGCGGTACTCAGTGATGGTCGAAAAAATGGAAACGATTTCAGAAGAATAAAACCTATTCAACGGTGGTATAATATTTGATAGAAATCAGATGGTTGCATTATTAGTTCTTTCTTACCGCTGCATTATCAGCTTCTGGTGCTTCGATAATACTGAAACGCTCACTAATGAATATTAGAATACACTCCAAAGTTGAACGCCTTTAAATATGCTTTAAAAGATTCTTTTTGAGAAAATTCTCGTGAAAGTGAGGGTAGGCGACAATCCAATTTAAAAATCGAACAGCGTAGACGCAATTACAGATTTCTCCTAATTGATGGATGCTGAAATTTGCATGCTTGTAAGGAAACTTGATTGATCGTGAGATTTTCAACCCTCGCAATCATCGTCGATCAAACTGATACAGACTGAGCAGTGGAGACCCTCCAAAACAAAAGTAGGAATTTCCGTGGGATATTATGTGAAAGGAAGAATGTTCGTTTGGAAATCCAAAACATGAGGGAAAGTCAAGCTGTCGAGGACACCTGTTAAAACCGGCAGAAAAACATCCTAATGTGAAGCACCTCGATATATGTTATAAAGGTATTTTCGGAACACACTCATCGCGCGGATGATGTGTTCTTGCGACAAGACAGAAGATATAACCGAAAGGAATGGATGACATCAGAAGAAAGAAAGTTAATAACTGCTAGAGTTAGATTCGAAGTTAATTTCGAGAGGATTTGGCGAAGATGAAAGAAATCGATTAAGATGCTTGCTGACGCGTCTTAACGAAACCATGCTGGGACAAATAAGGACATAGCGCACAGAATATGAACGACGGTTATTGAATAAGACATATATTTTATCAGGTAGCTATTGCTGTTATATGGCAAGCGCATTCGTTGAAAATCCACAAGTAACGAGTCGTCTTGAGATACGATTATATTTTAATGAGTACATCAATTTTCATTGATAACGAGAACCGGGTGAATTGTTAATTCATACTGATAATAAACCATGTTCGGCTGACTACTGCTAAAAAGATAAGCTGTATCAATATTAAGTGATACCATCACACATCGAGGCAACTTTTTGTCAGATATCATATGACAACCCAAACTTAACGTTCATAAGAACAATGTTGCATGACAACTGCCCACATTAGACCTGGAGAGGTTTATTTTTGCTCCAGTACCAACACTGGAGTTATGCATTCACTGGATGAAAATTAAAAATGAAACAGGTTTCCAAAAGAAAAAAATCAGTGCAATAATCAGGACAAAAACGAAGAATTAAGACCAGTGGATGAGAATAATTGAAAAATATAGGTTTGATATGCTCTCATGGGAGAAGCCCAACTGCTGAGAATTTTACTGCATCAGAACGATAACAGTAACTGAGTTAAATGTAATGTCAACAGAAAAATATAACATGTTCTAGTTATTTGAGTTGAAAACAGCTGAAGTTTACTGATGACGGATGGGCACGATCGATGGTGGGCTCGAGGTTGAGACCGCCGAACGAACAAAAACATAAGATATTGATCCGAAAAGATAAATTTGAGGCAAACTATTGGAAAGAGCAACAATGGCTGGCTGGTCGAAGAAAAATAAAAATTCAAATGGTTAGAAACGATACAAAACAAATTGCTTATTTGATTGGTCGTACACTCACTGCTGAAATTGGCATGGTATCGTTGGATAAGGACGGAATGATAGCCCTGGAGACTCGACGCACGAATGCCGTTGCGCAGTTATTAGGTGGAGATTCGTCGAGTTGCACGCCAGAAGTAACAGTGACGATTGAATTAGTGTGTGCTGATGTTCTAAGGTCATAGCAGGTATTGTGGTGTTTTTGAAGATTTCGGTTGAGGTACTTTGGTACACTCTAAATTCAGTTGAAACTTCTGAGGATTTCGGTTCGAACATGAATGAATCATTTGGTCATTTCTAAGAATGAAACTCATCTGGGCCACATCAAAAACAGTAGTACCAACTTTTTGAAAGAAGTACAGAACAGTAGAAATCGAACGCTGCCATAAACAAATTTCCCTCGCAAGGCCTATCCAGATGCAGCCAAAGAGAATGGGAAACGCACCACAGCCTTTTAAAAAAGCCCTTCGAAATAGTTCACTCATTCACCAAAAAACAGTGGAAAAGTAACCCATGAAATTGAAAATGCTAACCGTGGCCGAATAATTGGAAGAATGTTTGTCAATCGGTAAGTGCTGCTGATTTGGAATCATTCAAAGTTATAATATAGTATTCAACAAGGAACAGTATAATCATTATCAATAAATTTAGAACTAAAGGGACTATTATAAGGTCACACTGTGTGCTGATGTTATAAGGTCATACGATGATGACAGTTAAACTCTCGAATCAAGTTTGTCAGCAACGGAAGAACTGGAACATGTGAAATTCAACTTGGTGTGGTGATCAAAGAACTGTATCAGATGAACATAATTCACTAAAATATCGAATATTATACGATGAAAATTCATCTTTCAAAGGAGAGATTGAAAGAAGACAGTTCAAAATATGAATATTTGATTAAGGAGTATCACAAACATTTGGAAGCAGCACTGAATAAAGCTCACTGTGTCTCGATCAACCATTATATTCCATAATACAGCCATTCATTGCTTATCGTATCGTTGGCTAGCTTGTATGTACTGACAAAACTTAAGGCTTTCGAATCCATTCGAAATGCTGAACATACATATTCGAATGGTTGAATTAGTAATATGGATTAAAGGTTTTATAGTATGTTTCATCAATGTATTCATACTGAATATTCACCATATTCCAACAGATAACTCGTATGAGAGATATAATGAAATCAACGGCAACGGCAATGTGGATATAGACGGCTTATGATTAATCCATTAAAAGATATCTCCAAAAAAGTCAGTTCCTTCAAATGATAATATATCCAAGCAAGTGATGATGTCAGAGACAATAGCACATGTAAGGAAACAAATGCAACATTTTATTTCAGTCCACCGTAATGACCGGATTCTATGTGCAGTGAGTAAAACAAATAAACCGGATTCTAATCGCAGAAAGTAAAACAGATAAGTAATGCGAGTAATACCACAAAACGTTAGCACAAATTTCCTCTGCAAATGAGAAATGAATAGGATTGATTCTCTTGCTGAGTGAATATAATATGAAAAGTTGGGTGGTGATGGAGGATTTGTGGGAATTATCACTGAACGAACAAGCCGAATGATTTGGATTGAACGATACAGTACGAAAGTATCATAAAGAATATTTGAATAAATCAGAAATGGAGAAGTAGATCATTCACATATGAAAACAAAAACGATGATACGACTGATGATTGAAAGAGTGATGAAAAGACACAACTTGGTTCAGTTAAGCTGCTGCTGCTGCTGCTGCGGCTGCTTCTACTGCTTAGTGCTATATATAATCGCATGAAAAGAAAACTAAGACTTTGCTTACTTCTTTCACTGCAACAAGCACATCTCAAAAACAAAAATATTCAAACTACTAGGCAAAAACCAACAAGCAATGTAGCATCAATGCCAGCCAGCTACATGCCAAGAACATTTCTTTCGTTCCTTAAAATCCATTATTCATAATCGTCTTTTTCAATTTTCGACTGAGAGATCATGCATCACTTACATCATTCAGGCATGAATCTAATTGTAAGCATGCATTGATTGTGTTGAAGTTCTGGTGATCCGAACAGATCTGCAAGGTGGTCGTGGTTCATTGATGCTCTTAAACTATGTATATCACTGAGATAATATTAATAACTCAGTGATTCTTGGTCAAATACGTCCTCCTTTCCTTCACCTTTAGCATTTCTTGCTGTGTCAGTTTGTGTCTGATCAAACAATAAGGATTCACCGTTCCAGACCATTTGAAATGAATGGTGATGCAATGATCGTGCTCAAACCTAACCCCATTCTATTCAGTCAACTCCTGGAAACATTCACTTTGAAGCTCTTATCGTGTCACTGAGATTGTAATAATTTGAAGTCGCTATTACGAATATGAACCGATAATTAATTGCCGTTGTCACTGTGCTAATAAGGTTGGGAAGGAAAACTATAAGGCAAAAAACGAGCATTACCTTATGAGGCATCGTTACCAAATCTTCAGTGATGTCTTCAGAGGTAAGTCGTATCTTGAAATTTAAGCAGCAGAAACACTTTGATGCTACTACATGCAACGTGATACACATCACTCGAACTGCTGCTATCAGTGCATAGGAACCATCCACTGACTGTTAACAATATAGGCTTATGAAAGTGCTTGAGACTGATTGATCCATTCATACAGTACTCATGCGTGTGAGCACGACAATAGAGAAAACAACCGAACAAGAATAATCCTCGGTACAGTCAGAGTAACAACAGATCAGCAAAAGTATTTTCGATATGTTTCGTACGATGAACAGTTGATCAATTGAGACGATGTTGAGCCAAAATGACAATGAATTAGGCCGCAATGAAACAGATGGCAGGCAGCGTTTTCAAGTGAATGAAGAAATAATGAATGAATATGGATTGAATGACAGTAAATTCGAATGCCATAAATAAACTGCGTATGGCCAACAAATGAGGTTGTGCACACAATGAGAATAATGCATAATGCATTTCAAGTTCGACTATCGCCAAACTCACACATCCAGAACCGAAATTTGAGCAAAATCGGAATTGATGTAATTGGAGTTCACAAACGAATAAACACTCAGAATGATGCCGGCTGTTAAATTGGTAAACACTGCTTACATAATATTACCACACAAAGTCACTTAGCCTCCTCAACGTTTATCTTATTGAACAACTTCACAATATATCGCGATTATTCTTTTCTCCTCTTCAGTGAAATTCTGCTTGATCGAGAATATCGTTCAGCATGAACTATTGCATTACAGGCAAATTACTGCAATCCTATTGAACAAATTCAAAAAATTCAACTGTTTTGGAACGAACAAATAGCTGAAATGGTGATAAAAATGCTGAAATGGTGAAAAAACAATATGATTGAACAATTGACTAATTTAACAATCCCAGGTGAAACCTGCTCTCAGTCAAAAAGTGATTCCTAAAATTTTATTCGCTTGCAAAACATCACTGAACAAACCTTCCAAATATCTCACATGAGAATTATTTTGATGATTGGAGAAATTTTCAGATTACCTTGAATAATCTAAACCGAAACTAAGATCTAACAGATACGGAAATATGTTTCAGTCATACCAGGGGCGGGGAGATGTAACCACCCAGTTCAGAAATCATTATCTTTTAGCGTATTTCAAACAACCACAATCTAATCAGTGAAATTATCGTAGCTAATTTTCAGAATGATGCTTGATTTCATCTTGAAACATCACACCGTTCGAGATGAAAAGTGGGTAAGAATGGTGTAAATAAATCTAGTCTTGCAGTGATTTATGTGATGCTGAGGCGTTATTATTAAACATTACTCTTAGCTGTTACAGCAAAAGAACGACTTTATCTTTGGAATGCGTTTGCAAATGAAACTTATTTGTGAGTTACATCGATCCCCCAAAAAGTAACATTTTTTGTTACTCAGACGAGAACGACTGGAATAAATCGCGTTCCATGAGTTAATAATAGCGATAAACGCATTTGTTTGCGTCATCAGGTGGAATCAAGTAGTAATCAGACGTATTCGAAGACAACACCATATAATCAGCTGGAATCATGAAAATGGATGTTTTTATGGAACAGGATTACATTTCGCAATTCAATAAACTGCTTTCATCGTGCATAGTGAAATGCTGGAAGGATGCTTAAATAAGTTGATATAAGGCATTATCCTGTTATTCCTTCTCCTGTTACTGCTGTTTGTTGTCTGTTTGTATACAATATATCCACACATGTTCGAGTAATAAACAAACATCCGTCAATAAACACAGACAATGATTTTGAAACTTTTTAGGATTTCATGATATACATTAACGAACAACATTATTTGTTCGCAAGAGCTTCGTTGTCATAGGAGGATGTCAGTGAAGTGGTGAGAAAGAGAATCGATTGTGAAAGAGCTCGAAGAATTATAACCAGGACATGGTACTTAGCATCTGGCTATTCTTTATCCATAAGATGGTTCGAAATGAAACAATAACTCAATGATCGCGAACCATTCTATCAATTGCTTCTTAGCACAATAGAACAATTGACAGAATTAATACTTCGCACAAATTTCGGTGTGGTAAAAATCATGCATTACTATATCATCAATTCTGGATGAATCCTTGAGAGGTGATTGATAGGAACAAGCCGACTGCCAATTTAAAAAATGAGTAGAAGGTAAAAAAGATTGCCTCAGAAATTTTCGCGGCTTGGAATTTAGAGCTGGTTTCATCATCGAAATATTTGGTGATCATTAGAGGCTGATAGTAGCGGGAGATCGGAGAGTGTTATGAGGTGGATTGCTAGCATGAGCTGATAAATATTCGTAATGATCCGAAACAATACCGTTCATCCAAACAATGAATAGTCAACAAATAATGATTGATTAGCTTTTTGTCGATGACCATTCGAACTCCTTCTTTCTCAGTTCATTCTTATTATCACCAAACTCCATCATATTCATGTTACCTTTTGCTCTTCGTGACTTATTTGGCGATTCATTTCACTTGATCATTTGTAGAAGCATACTAATTTTAACAACCACTTACAAGCGTACCACAGCCCACTAGATGCTTCAAACGTCATCTGAAAGCTTTGAGGGAACAGCCGATAACTTATGATTACTTTTCGCAGATGGCAGAAACGCCTTTTTACCTCAGTGATGTAACAGATATCATAATGCTTGTTGCATATATCTATAATGAGCTTTAAAAATCAGTCAGTTCATCGGGTATTCGAAAAGCTGCGAAATGAATTTCTGCTTCACAAACGGATTAGAAAGCCATGATGGCTAAGTTGGAGAAGCAGTTGGGTTGCATGTGGAGCACTCGAACGTTCATCATGATCAGAGCCAGACGTCCAGCTAGGGGTCCTTCTCATGCGGATGGAAGTTCAGAAGTCTTAATTTTGTTGTTAATAGGTGATAAATAATTTATATGAGTCCCCAAGATACATGCGAATTGTGTTAAATTGGATCATCTTGAATGAGTGTACGCTGAACGGAAACGTTTATGATACGCTCATAAATAATCGTGTTGTAACCGTTGGCATCGATGCTTCATCGTCCACAACATCAGCTATCGAACGGATGAGGCTGAGCAATAACAATTTTCGCAGCAGATGATGCTGATTCATAATGCTCACGCAAAACCTATTCTTCGAGCAAGCAATAAACGCACATCGAATAGTCACATATATATTCATAGTAACAGCTGTGATAATAACAGCAATTGAGACCATGTTCACATCGCAATATCATCTAGTGCTGTCCATCATCATCAGTAGCTTCGCTAATTTTCCCTTACAGAACTAATTTTCACCAGCCTAAGAACTTCACTTATTCATATGCTTATACGCATAAGGGATAAATACAGTTTGTAATACGAAGAATCACAATCAAATAAACGACTGCTTATGGCCTCAGTCATATAGTAACATTCTCAGTAACGTATGAAGATGTGCAGCAAAATCAATCCTTTTATTGGTCACACTTCAATTTCGAAAAATTCCCTGAAAGTCAGTTCTAATTCCAAGCATCACTGTTTGTTTCATGAACCAAACAGATGATAATTTCACAAGTGCAATTCTAGAAATGTGACACTTCCTATAGCTTGAAGCAATTCAATAGCTGAACATGTTTAATAATGAATGCGAGAGGTTCAAAGACGAATTCATTCAGGAAATAGCATGTATCGGAACACCGCATAGAACGGAGACGTCAATGACGATTTCATATACTCATTAATCTTCGAACAGTTCGTTGCCTGAGAATGCTAATCGAATGTTGCGATTCACTTTCGAATGCATACATGCATGTAAAATTCGTACGTATTATTTTTAGAAACAGAAAATTGCAAATTCAAATCAAATCCTCAATTTGAAGGACAGAAAATGAAATGTACTGTGTTGTGTAATTGATTCTTAAGGTCTCATTCCGAGGATGCTGTGTATGCAAGTGAATCGAATCAATTCTACTGATTATTGCCTTATGGCTGCCGAGAAATGTGAGAGTAAATGAAATGTTGATTGATATCAATAGCTTGAAACAAAAGAACTCAATAATGGAATGTAGCCAACAGGAAGGAGATTAATGACATCAATGAAGGTGACAGGTATATGAGAAGATGAAATTACAGATGGATGATCGAGTCGTCAGTTGGATAGCATTACTCATTTCAATTGACCATTNTCATTAATCATTTTCACATTTTACTTTGACAATGAAATATTTTCATGTTTGTTCGTTATAGCATGAAATATTTTCAGAAATTATTGTCAAACTCGCATTCATTTTTTATTGGATTCACTCAACGATATCGACAGTTAAAATTTATTACTGGTGGATGCATCTCCGATGATGACTTATTTAATTGTTAATATTCTGTCAAATCTTATTGAATTCACCAATCGAATCGAAATGTGAGCACTTGACTGAACGATGATAACTTCTTGGTTCTCATATTAGAATGTCAAATCAGTTACATTGAGTCAGTCAGTCACGTCCGATCAACTGCCATAAGCACGATTTTAAGCATATTTCGTAGAACATGATCAAGGAGATCATGGGACAAGGTAAATGTTCAAATTTGATCATGAACGATATCAAATCAGTGAACTAGGATTACGATGATAACGCTGATGTGTGTATGATACAGTACTCATAACAGCGGTATGAGCATTCAGTAGAATTAAATCAGTGTCAGAACGTCTCTCTATCGGTTGGTAATTAAGACTCAATAATGCAAGAAACAATTGATAACTGACAGAATGACTGACAATTAGTGATAGCTGGCTAAAGGAAGAAATGTTGAACGGATGATAAAAGTAGTATAAAAGTAGCGACCACTAACATTTTGCATACGAGAGGTGCGTCTCGGATGTTGGGGTCGATACGAAGTGACAGATGCCGAAACAGGGGCACCACTCCGTCTCGGATGTAAGGCAGCTGCGGCAGATAAAGTGGCTGGTGGTGTGAAGGTTAAAGGTGGCGCTACTGCACCACCGCTCAACGCTAGTGAACAACCGTCGCATGTATCGTCGTGTCCGAACACAGCTGTTTTCATTACTACTACTATCTCCTAGCCAATGCCCAAACAACCATTGGCTAGTGAGCCCATAAGCGATCGACGAGCATCACCATAAAACACACCAACAAATGCCCAATATTGCTCATGAATATCACTCGTATTGATGCGATGAATAACAATTACAGAGATGATGCATTGTGAATGACCAAATAGTGAACAGTGTTTCTTATATTGCTGGTTTTCGCCTTTGGAACATCAAGAATCGACGAATGAATTACTTGAGTCGATTCATTCAGGAATCGCGCTTCAAGTAAACATCTACTAAAACGAATCGCGTTTCTCGTTGCATGTAGTGTCAGAAGGCGATGCTTTGTTAGGCTTAGTGCTAAGCACTTTTTATTTGTTACCAATACAGTTGCTTAACGGAAATTTTTTGAGAGGTCGTTGATCGATCCATACAATGTTATCAATAATTAATCATCGAACAATTTCGATTATCTTCTCTTTTGAAAATTCCAACTCACCATTTGCGCTTATATCATTGGATAATGATATCTTATCATTCACATTATATATCACATCATATCTACAACATAAATATCATATATTACGTCCATATACACGCAAACACAAATCTATAAGAAGAGATGACCATAAGCGAAATCTTATCAAATTATCAGTGCATGAATCAAATCGATCGTTGGCGAAATAGCTTCAAGAAACATTTTGAGTCTTTGAACTGATTATATCAATTTTTGAGGAAAATTCGGGAGTTCCTCGAAAAATTCGGGCAACGGACATCCTCGAGAATTCTATAAAACCTGCGACGAGAAAGGACGGAATCTCTAAAATGCAGTTGGCCCGAAGAATGTCGGGGGTGGGGTTCGCGAAATTCCCCGATCCTCGCAACACATCAGTTTGGATGTCTCATAATCATTTGTAGTTAAACATCGAAGTGAGAGAAATAAGGATAACACATAAATGCAGCAGAAAATGCCCATGAGAACGTCGAAAACGTCAACGATGAAGACGACATAAGAATCAAAAACGCTAGCAAAGTGATAAATGCGATCTCACCTAACGAAAAAATTCTCACCGTTCCATCCATTTCTTATGTTCTCACTTTCGCTAAAACGTTTCTTACTTGATAACATGTTCTGCTATTCGTTTTCTATAGTCGGCATCTATTTCACAAGAATGAGGAGCTGAAGAAGAAAAAGAAGATGATATGGTTGCGTAAAAGCAAACGAAAATGAATTTAAAGTAGGCCGTTGTGTAACAATACAATAAGAAAGCGGATATCTGATGCTTACGGATATCGAACTGATACGAATCGAATCGCTTACACTCTGCTGATTCAAATCGAAACACTCATCATCATACACCTCTGAGTTGCAGCAGCAGTATCCATTCAATTGATCGACCGACCGACCGTTTATATCCTTTTTATCCATTCAAAGCATCTAACAAACCAACCCACAATCTAAACCAAATCCTTCATCCTACCTCACACTGTGAAGTCCCAAACTGCCGAATACGCAAAATTCATGCTAAGCGCTCCGCTAGCAGCATGACAAGGGCAATAGCGAAAGCAATAGTTAACCGAATAGTAGTTAACATCAACTTGCATCTTGCAGCTTAAAAGCCATATGCTGTAAGTTTGCGTATGCTATCAGCCATATTTATTGGCTATGATATATTGTATGGCTATACACAGCCACATATGCTTATGCAGCATCAAACGGCCTCAACAATCATCCAGCTGAATATGCAGTATTTAGCGTGCATGATTATTCATTCTTTATTCATTTATTTGAATGTTCCTTGGATGCGATCAATGTGGTGCCATCTGATGTGATGATATGATCATATGAATTCAATTGCCTTCCTCTTCTACTCGGATGCTACCCACATTCGCTTGGTGCATGTATACCTCCTGAATATCTCATCTTGGATACATCATATCCCTCTCTTATATTATTTGACTTTATTCACACACAATATCTTAAATGGATATCGTATCTACGTGATGTTCATTCTCGATTTCCTATTCTTTCAATTCCCTCTCACATACTTATTAAATGCGAGTGAAAATGCCTCTTAACATCATTACTAACCCTCATCGACATCATGTGATCTATCACGCTATTGCATCAACGCAATATCATATCGCCATTCTGCACCACAATTATTATCACGGTTTTTGATCGTTCACATCATTCCCATTCAACAAACTGTCACTAACCTCAGAATCAACGCATCTGTCGTTCTCGTTACTCCTAACATGTTCTCGGTACCTAACGGATGTGAACTTACGAACGTTATCACGTTACTCTGATTAAACCACTAGTTTCTGAGTCACTACAATATAAAAGTTATACAACAATCAGATGAATGAAAGAATCAATGCGGGAACTGAGTGAAATTTCGAGGCTGAACTGAAAAACTCAAAAGTTTTAAAAATCCGAATGATTGGGATGTAGGAAAGCTTAAGATAACCTCAAAAGAGCCGCCAGAAGTTTTTCTTAGTTATAAGGATATAATAATTTCGTCTCGAACAAACCGCATCAATTCGTGAAGTTATGAACAAAATCAATAGAAATATCGGTTTCGATAGGGACTATCATACGGTTGAAAATGTGCTACATGGAAGAGGGTATGTCTAAGTATTTAGTGGTATAACAATGAAAAATGACTCAATGACTCAGCATAAGAGAGAAACGACCAGAAACTTCTCGCGAAAATTTATGATGGTTAAAAGCAGCGAACCATCCGAAAGAATCTGCGATTTCAATAACAAATCACCACAATAAAAAAAGCAGTCATCAATTTCGAATGAAACGCAACGCCTCTTAAATCAATAAAACACATGTATAAAAATGAAAGTTTGCTCTTGTAACTCGACTCAAACGTTCATAGACAAGTTATTCTCGGCTTTGAAACTGGAAAAATTCACCGAAAATGAAACAAGGATGTGATCATAGAAGTGTATGAATGCCATCATGACACTAGCTAATAGATAAGCTTTGGCGAGTAACCACAAACACCTGAGAGATTTCTCCTCATAACGCATTTAATAACATTGGAACTTTATTGCAGAAATGTTTCGTTGTGAAAGAAGATATAATTATATTTTGGTTGCTTACCCATAAATTGTTCAATTGATTTCTGTTTGATTGGCTTGATTTTTTTTAATCGGAAAAAAGATTATGTTCCTTGCGTGCTTGTGTCTCGGAATGTAACTCTAGATTATGTTTAATCTGGATTTTGCGATCCGACAGTGAAAGTTATACTCCTGAATGGATTTCGTGGGCGAGTAGAGTGATGAAATTCTATCGGAAAGGTAGGAAGTTATAGACAGCAATGACATATGGGGTAAGATTGCAAGCGATAATTATTTCTGCGACAATTACGACCATGTTCAATTCTCAATGAATTCAAATTCGAAGTCAACAGCATAACTGCTGACACGAAGTTAGCAAAACAAATTCATACACTAAGATAAACAATGTGAAACTTCAAAGGATCATAACGTGCGTTCATGACTGCAACAGTACACTAGGAACGCTATAAGTGAATAGCAAAATTTTAATCGCTCCACTGAAATAAGCGTTCCCAAGGATTACGGCCAATTCAAGAGTAAAAACTTTTTCCAACAACTATGCAAAAAATTATATTGACAGACGTCATCGCCCAACAGGGAGTTTGTTGTTCGCTTGCATAAAAAAATCGCTTCTTCTTTTCACTGCAAAACAACCATAGAATCGACCAGCAAGAACCAATCAAAACTGACACAAAATTGCCTCCTCCCATTCACTTCAGAAAGGTCTATTAACGGATTAGACCAATGAATTTCTTAACAAATGAATGAGAAATACATCATTCGGATCACCAAGAAGCAGAGTTTCAAACACAAAAATTTCAATTATTGTACATAGTGTTTCAAGATATCAGAGTTCTGATATATTGGTGTGAATAAAAGTATGAGACGTTTGATTAGTAACCAATAACATTTGCAGTCTCGAAGTGAGAGCTCTTCCTCACTGGACGAATGAAACTTATAAAACAGTTGTGAGATACCGTATTGAACGAGATATTCATTGTACTAACACTAATGTATCAAAGAAGCACGCCCGAGAAGGGTGCGAATAAACTTTCGGCTGATTTATATGTCAACTAGAGCGAATGTTCATAGATGTCTTACAAATGTCTTTTCATATTACCACAAAATACGAATGAATGCGTCGAATACATGAACAAATATGGACATATACGAGCATATTACACACAGAATGATATGCTCTTCTGCGAAAAAATGAAGTAGTGCATTTGCTAGGCACTTAGTCCTTGGTTTCAACGTTTGTTTCATCGTCGGCTCTACCCTCAGGCACTATACAATACTTCGAAATACTAAAATATATCTGAGTTTGTCACATATAGCACAAATGCATAGATGAATGATATTTTCAAATCTGGGTGAGGAGGTAAGATTTATTCATTTGTATTAATCTTTGATCTGAACAATTTTCTGGATGCATTCATCGTTGACTTTTAATCATACATCTACATTGGATACCTACAACGACCATAACAACCTCTTCACTAAACATTCATGCAGAAAGCTCACGTCGAATTCGACGGAAATAGCAAATATCCGGATGGAAGTTATCATACGTCAGAAAGATTTTTTACGTAATATCACATTAGACCATATATTTTTATATTATTGCCCAATCGATGAACAACAAATATCGCATAAAATCAAACTTTTCATCAAATACAATTGCATTTCGATTGATCCGAATCTGATGAAATTACCGGGTGTGCGCACTGCGCATTTTTTGTTAGACTTGCAAGAAAGCAATCGAACATTAAGCATTCTAATCGTTTAACCGCATGAAAATGTTCGGATATACCATATTATGGCATCTAGGAAATTCCGGCACCGACACTTCAAACATAAAATAAACTCTATGTCGTCCAACATCGACCCCAAAAAATGTATGAAACATCCAAACCCCTTCCATACCACTCTC